TGATGATTGGATCCACGAGCTGGAGGAGAGTATGATTGATCGCGATAATAGTGACGAGAAGCCTGATGATGAAAGTGGACTGGCTAGTAAGATGGACGGTATTGGTGGGCCCTTATTATGTGATGATCCAAGTTTCGCGAAAGAGTTGCTCGACTTCTTTGATTTTGATCTTCCTGCAGATGATCACTTCCTATGGGATAACCTGCCCGACGATGGCCGCTTTTTCTGGCATGATCAGTCTTTGACAGCCTTGAATATCCCATTACAGCCTTGAATGTCCCATTGATTCCCAGTACTTAGTCATGATCTGGTGACATAATTAGTTTTATATACATTATTCTTAACTGATAAAAGTTTTGTGTTGTTCAAGATTAGGTATATATTTCATTTCTGCTCATGATGGTTCTCATTTCAGCCCTTTATAGTAACTATAATATGATTTGGTTAATCAATTTTCTAAGATTTGATTGAACAAGGAACAAACTCCCAAGAAAACTCTAAATGGAACCAACTTCACCTAATAACATTATGCCAAATTCACAGGCAAAAAACTCCAAATACAAATGCACCTAATCACCACTTTTAGCTCAACATACATACACCTCATAAAACTAACTTGAAACATACAGTAAGTAAGTTGCTTAAAGAACCAAATCCTTCTTATTTCGACCGATCGTACTCGAGTACAGCAAACATTTATTCAAATTACAATACTGATTCCCCGAATTACAACAGTACTAGCACGATACACACACAGGCACAGAGATTGCAAATCCCCACGCTTAAGTTAACAGTATATCATCGAAAAACACACACACACACACACACAGAGATTGCAAATCCCCACGCTTAAGTTAAAAGTATATCATCGATTGTACCAAAAAAAAAATTGTACCAAAAAAAAAAAGTATATCATCGAAAAACATAAGACAATGAAAATGCTATTTATTTAGGTTGCGCCCACCCCAAATGGAGGCGGATGTTCGGGTTACTTTCCGGGTCAAGCATAGCATCCAACAAGGTTGACCGGGTCATCGGTACCCACTCTGCGAGAGTCTCATCAAAAGCCTCCACACTTACTTTCTCGAGATCACACTGGCCTAACATACTACGGTTGGGGACAAAACGATCTTCTTTAACCTGCACCAACCTCTTGAGAAGTATTGCCAATATATCATTTTTAACATTCACTTTAATCCACGACTGGGGCAGCTGGCATTGAGTTATAAACTTCGGGCAACAGCTCCAAAACAAACAACCCAATAGTGAGGAACAAATCGAAGATGGGGCATCCATCACTAGTAGCATCAAATTCTCCACCACAGGCCTACGCGAGCCTTCTATATCCCCCACATACTCAAAGTTCTTCTGTGAGATAAGCCCGATATTGAAAGATAGAGAAATTCTCGACCGTCTCAGCTTCTTCAGAAACTTCTTCAACCGAACGAGAGAAAGAGTCCCGGGCTCACCATGCAGTACGGATATTTCGGATTCCCATGCATTTGAAGTTTTCTCAAATGTCAGGGCAGGCAAGCACGAACCCGAAAAGCTAAACTTACGAAGCCGTGGTACATCGAATTTGGCCCAAAACTCGTTCTTATCGGCCCAGCTCACGCGCTCAAGTGTCGGGCTCGAAATATACGCTTGCTTATCCCAGATGCATTGATGAACAGTCAAATCCTGGAGTAATGGGAATTTAGTCGAGAAGTCGCTGAAAAACGATTTACCAATATCAACCATCTCCAAATACAAGCGCATGAGGCCATGAAACTGGTATGGATAGGTCCGCCTGTAAATCAGCGGCCCAACGTCTTCTTTCCTGAACTCATTAAGGTAATTAAACGGCATGAAATTGGTCGTTTTTCCACCACTTCTCGTGTGATACTCCGAACACACGCATTCGGAAAGTATCAGCTGCTCAATCAGTGGGCAGCTCCTTATTATATCCCAAATTGTATCACCTTCAACCAACACCTTGGATAAATTGAGAGATTTAAGTGAAGAGCAGCTCACCTTTGTTTCAACCCCTCGATCAATTTCGCAATTAACCATGGATAAGCTGTATAGGGTTTCGGATTCAAACACCTCACGAGGTAACAGAAGCGGCGCCCCTCGACCCGAGATTTCCATATGAAGAACGGTGGCGCCCATTTGCAGAGCTCTCACAATCAACTCGCTGGCGAGAGAACGATTCAACCCTTGGCCGACCGCTTGCGAGTCGCCCATCCACAGGCTCAGGCTCTCGATCTTCCGGCCGATGGCTTCGTACCTCCGCATCGTCCGCCGCGAGTACTCTGCGAACGCGGCCGCCGCGTTGGGTGTTGGTTACTTTGTGTGAAATTACACGGGAATCCTACGAACTGATATGTAATTTTCAGTTCTTACAAATAATCTAAAAAATTAGAAAATTACAATTGAACTGAAAAAAATAAAATACAACTGAAAAACTGAAAGATTTTTAGCCGAGGCGAGTAAAACTCTTTCCGCAAGAAGAATACGCCCCGTGTGGCTGCTAACGGTTCAGGCGTAACTTCCCCAAAGATACAACGGCAAACGTCTCTAAATCTGTAGCACACCAGATTTACGAGTTCCGGCGAACGGGAACAGAATCGAGAATTGAGCACTTAGTAATAAAAGAAATATTCTGAAACAAATAAAAATATCACTCGTTTTTTTTCTTTTAATAATTTTATATCCGATATTTGGACATAAATATTATTTTCTTTCTTTCTTTTTCTTCCTTCTTTCTTTCTTTCTCTTCTTCTTTTCTTTCTGCCGTATGTTTCCTTCATCTCAACACCCATATATATATAAAGATGTATGAGTTGCATTTGGTGTCATTAGGTGAGAATTAGGAAACTTGGTCACCAATTTGTATTTCTTCACGCCTCATCATTGATCAAATTATTCAAGTGGTTAGAGAATAGTTGGGAAGAATACAAATCCAAGTAGGACACAAATAAATATATTTATTATACTCAATTGTCTAACATTGGGGACATTCCTTCGGGAATTGGAGAAGTGACGCTGGTCAAGATCCAGATTCGGGTGGGTGTACCAGGCGGCATACCATGATTTGGATAGGACACTGGTCTGCGCAATCTCCTTTCCGTCGAGGAAGGACTGTATGTGCTGAATTATGGCTTCCGGTAGCTGGGTTTCGCCGTCTCCGGCGGTTCTGCGCTTCTCCATGAGAGGTTTTTTCTTGACTGAGAAAGAAAAAAATAAATAAAAATTGGGGATCTCACGGCGGCTTTACAGGTGTAGACTGTAAAGCGACAACGACCAATATTCAGTTAAGTATGATTAAATTAACTACTAATTAACTAATTATTTAATTAGTTCAGGTGTGGTCCATTGGTTTTAATTCCACAAGTCATATTTTTTAACTTCTTTTTTATTTTGATCGATAACTCCACGACCACAAGTCATTTTTTTGGACATATTATAGTCTCGTTACGAAACTAGAAGGGGAAATTTTATTGTATGGCTTCATTTTAGGTATTGTATCATAATAGGGTCTGAATTTTTAACTTTTTTATTTGAGGGCTTGAATTTTAAGTTATTCTCTATAAAAGGCTTACTATTACATTCTAATTCTCGATTTAAGACTCCAACTAACTTTATATTTTTACATAAATATATAATCCAAATACTATTATTTTAATATTTATATTTTCAAATAATTATGAATGTCTTTAGTAAAATTACTTTAGTGTATTTTTCTAAATAGTTTATTATTTAATTTTATCACATGTTTAGATTAATTTAAGTTAAAAATTTATTTTTTAACTTTTAAAATAACTTTCATTAAACTTTTGTATAAATGTAAATTATGAAATAGTTATATTTTTAGGTAATTTCACTAAGATATTTAATATTTCTTTATTATATGTACTTAAAAAATAAATTTTAAAACAAGTATTATGTTTTACATAATTTTGTTAAAATAAAAAGAAATTTAGAGACTTAAATTGAAAAGTAGAATGTAAAAGTAGGCTTTATATTGAGAATAATTTAAAAATGAAACTTTCAAATGAAAAGGTTAAAAATATAGGCCCTATTATGACACAATACCTAAAAATGAGGCCTTATAATAGAATTTCCCCACGAAACTATTACGTTGAAATTTATAATCGTTATATTATCATGTAATCGTGGAATAGTTGATCTAACGATTACAAACCCCGACGAAATGATTCCGTAACAAGACAGTAACATATCACCATTTTTCAACCTAAGCTAGTTGAGTTGTATCCCGCTTTACTTTCGATATTTAGGATCATTTTAGATTCTGTAGTTTTCGAATATCAATTTATAGCATCAACTATGATAAAGTTTCAATAATAATAGAACCTTTATTTTTCTTGATGAAGACATGCACTTTTATCATTATATAGTTTAATCAAAATGACTAATTCTTTTATTAGCATTTTTGTGGACAAAAATATTTCATAAATTACTTATAAATTTCTTGAAAATTAAAATTTAATTAGTTTTTGAAATTCTCAAAAGGATTACATTCTAAAATAGGAAATAATATTAAATAGTACTAATGGTCTTAAAATTTTCGTAAATATCCAGTATATATATATATATATATATATATATATATATAAATATTCCAAGCCTGGTATTTTTAGATAGATTATAAATAAAATTCATTCAATTCAAATGACAAAGCATGAAAATTACCACTTAAAATTTCAAAGCGTGTGAGCATGCAAGTTAAACTCATTTTGCAATTATACCAGAGAGAATTTAGGGACAACTTTTTTCAAGTATTTATTGTTGTTTTTAATTTAGTTAGAACATAAGACGGTTGCCTTTGTCATTTTTTTGCCTATTTTTGTTTTTTGGTGTGTGTATAGGTAGTGTAGTGTGTGTTGTTTGTGTTGTATCGTTGTGTTCGTGTTCATTTTCTTTTCTCCCGTTGATAGTGTATTTTGTGTATTTTGATGTTAGGAGCTTTTGTGTGTTTATTCTCCTTTTGGGAGTGTGTTGTTGTGTTGTGTCTTGTAGGTTGACTCTAGGCTACCGTCTGTTTGTATGTTGTACGTGTAGGCCCCTCTGCTGGAGTCAACTATTCAACTTATTCAGTTGTTGACTGTTTATTTGACTGAGTAGTTGATATCTAGTCTCGACTTTGTTGTGAATATAAGATTTCTCTATCGTTTCGGCAAAAAAAAACATAATATTGTAGCCAATTGACTGACAAGTGACAGGTGTGAAGTGACAACGAAGTAATATTACGTTAAAGTACGATCGACTAATTAACTAACTTAGTGGTTGGGTCCCTTGGCTACAAGCCTACAACTCCATGAGTCATTTTACTCAAAGCTAGTTGAGTGGTAATGTGGTATCACACTTTACTTTTGATTTTTTAGAATATGTAGTTCTCAAATTTCAATTTATACCTCAACATGGAAAAAGTTCAATAAAGATGCAATCTTTATTTTCGGTTTTTGGAATCATTTCAGAATATGTAGTTTTCAAATTTCAATTTATCACTTTTTTTATTTGAACGATAACACATAATTACTATAAAATAACTAAACAACCAAATACATCAGCTATTCAGCTATAAAATAACTAAAAAACCAAATAAATCAGCTACTCAACTATAAAATAACTAAACAACCGAATAAATCAGCTACTCAACTGAATCTAATTAGATGCCTATGTTAGGAAATATTTTATTTCTCATGTATAATCTAATTATGGGCAACATATTAAATACAATTATATTATATTAGCTATTCAATTAATTAATTAATTAATTAATGGACTCAATTAAGTGACTAAATTAAGTAGAGTTCATAGGCTACATAAATTGATATGGACTTAATGAGTGGATACCTAATATTACTAGGGTTAGGTGATAATGGGTGGCCTACCCTATTAGTATATATAGACCCTCTTGGTTATGGTCCCCAATACACTAATTCAAACATAGTTCTCTTTTCTCCCCATCTGAATCGAGAACAACGGTCTCATATGAGGAATAAGTTCGTGATCGATGATGTGTTCGTGATCCAAGTCGTGTTCCATGGTGATTGAATCTATAAATCCACCTAAGGTATGCTTCCGCTATCTATTTAAATCTCGTTATTTGATATGAAAGCTCCTGGGATATAGCGATGGTTTTCGCATAAAGCTAATTCCAACAAGTGGTATCAGAGCATCTTCAAATCGAATTTTTGGGAGTCGATTCCTTGATCTTTTACAGACCAAATTTTATTAGGGGGATCGCTATGAATTTGGGTGCTATACTATCAATTTATAATTTCTGAATTGCTTTCGGATCTATGCGCAATTATATTGATTCATATCGCATATTGTTGCAACCACGGTTCGAATTCATAAATTGTTATTAAATAGTATAATTTGAGATAATATTGGATGAATCCTTCAGGTTTCAATTGGGTGCAAATTTTATTGGCAAATTGTTTTTTGATTGGCTAATTTTGAATGGATTCAAATATCAAATTTTTTTGAATCATAAGCTTTTGGATATTATTTATTTAATTATAGATCATGCTGCTCCGTTCCATTATATGAGTCATGTTTTTCATTGGCTAGCTTGGAGCTTGTACTTGAATTATTTGCTACGGATCCAATGCATCTGAAGTGATCATATATATGAATTTAGTTTATGTATTATGTATATAAATTCATCAGGCATGGTTGTTTTCGGATAAAATTGATTTAGGACCCATTTAAGGTTTGAATTAAAATATTCGGCGCTTCTGGATTAATTTAAATAGATTGATCCATTTAAGTGCTAAATATTGTTGTATTTTGTAATTCATGCGTGTGTTGATTAATTCAATGTGAACCTATACATGGCCGAATTACAAACATACTTGTGATGATAAACATGTGGCAATTATTTGGTTGTACATATGAACACGATAAATTGGCCCAAAAGAAAATTTATTGTTTGATATGTTATTATTGTCAATGGTTAATCACTACACTAAGATATCAATTACAAGTTAATATTTTATCCAAAGATGAAATATTAATGGAGTTATGATGTCTTGAGATATAGTTGCCCTTATTTGAGGATGTTATTTTAATTATAAGTAAATTTTGTGAGCGTAAACATTGATATTCTTACTTGTATGTTTTTGGGATATATGGAGTTATCCATCTAAAGGTTGATTTAAAATTATTATGTTTGTTTATGATATTAAATCAATATAAGGAACTAAGTTTTATGGTCTTTCACAAAAGGAGATACAAATAAATGGTGGATATTTATTTTGTCTTATTTTGTTATATTTGATTTGAGACTATATTGAGAGTGTATTTGTGCTTAAGTAGACATTTGGTTTTCGTCCAGTTCGGCTCAAATTAACAAAGTTTGTTTCTAGCTTAAAATCTAGATATTTGAACTTGGTTCTATGTTTTGTGGATAAGCCTAATTTAGATATACTAGGCTTTGTCTGTATAAATTTGAATTTGAAGTCTATTTGGTTTTATGGACTTTAAACTCAAATAAAGATAATGGACACAAGTTTATATAAAGTGATACTTTGGCTCCAATTAAAGTCAGATTTTGAGATTATTATTTTTTTCTTGGTATCTCAAAATATTTATAAGGCCTGGAGTTTGAGTTTGACTTTGTGGTAGACTCATAATGTGTTTCCGGAATGCTGGGCTAATTGTCCTATAAGGATAGGATTTATATTGAAAATCTTTACATATAATCCATGAGGATTCTTTGAGTCAATTGTGAGAAACATATTAAGTAATTCCATGACTTATGTGCTTAATTTGGTTGAGGCTTAAATTCCAAAATAATGTCATGTTGAGTTTATAAAAGCTTGAGCTCATTTCTGGATTCAAAATAAAGTTTATTTGGATTTAAGCTTATTGAAATTAGATTTTAAGTCTAATTGGTTATATGGGCTTTCAATCGAAATAAAGTTGGAATTAAATTTATTTTAATTCATGAACTTTATGTCCAAAGTTTTCCTGGGGCGACGATTTAACGTTGTTCAATTGAGTAATAGAGAAATTCTCGGTCACTTTTTCTATGATGTGATTTTCAATTTAGTCAATCAAAGTATCATGTTGCCATAGCAGCTTCTGTGCATAGTGAATGACTTTATTGAAATCATTTTAATGTTGTATGAAGTTGTTCATGTGATCTGTGCTCGGCCCATAGGTGGACACAGGTTGAC